ACGGAATCGATTCCGGAGCGGAACTGGTTCCTGAAATGTTCAACATTGCGGAATAGGATGACTGCTCATTCGATTCAATTGTCTAGCCAATGCTATCGATTTATTTCAACCAATAACAACAATTGGTTATTAGTTCCATACTATAACCGCAGACTAGAAATTATTCTGATTGACATTGAAAAACGAATTGTCAAACCCATTCATATTTTCGCACGATCACTACCCTATGAAGAAAATGATGATGATAAAATCATTTGGAATATCGCCTTGAGCCTAGGAAACAGTCCGTATCTTATAGTTCGATGTGAAAAATATGTTTGTTATTATGATCTTTAATAGAATATATAGAAATCTTCTTGAACAAAATGAGAAAATTAAGATTTTATTGTGTCCAAAGAAAATCTAATATCTTCTCTATATTCAAATACAATTTCATTTCACCATATAAGACAAGAGTGTGAGTGTAGGTGTTTTTTCTTCCACACCCACTTCGACAAAACAGAAGAATTTGAGATACTGATGAGACAACATATAATAGATACTTGAGGGTGTGGGTGTGACTTTACTTTCAATTATGTTTATATTCATGAATGAATGAACAAAAAATAATATATTTTATTCTTATTTTTCTATATTAAGTCCCCATATTGTGTATCATATGACTACACTACACCATGATGCAAGTTTATTATGACGGGTTTGCTTAATCTTTTTATTCGGCGAGAAAAGTAAAATTTCAGTATTACTTATAAGAGACGAGTTCGTGTTGTTGAAATATATCTTTGAATTTCTAACTCAGTTTGTAATAAACATGGCTGATAGTAATCAACCAATAATTTATAAAAATCGTTATCAATTTCAAAGAAAACTTGATCGAGAAAATTTCAGCACGCTGTATCTGGTAGCTGATCTTGAAGCGGAAAATGAATTGTATGTAAATTAACGATTCTTCTATTAGTATAAATATGATTTATTTTCATAGAAAAGTATTAAAAGTCATTCGATTAAATGATATGTCCGATGAACATGCAACTGAAACTATTAATAGAACTAAACATCTATTAAAATTAAACAATAAATATATTGTGAAAGTAAAATTTTCTTTTAAAATCCAAAACAGGAAATTCTTATTTGTTGATTTAGTATTATGAAAGTTTCATAGAAGATAATTATTTATATATTGTGATAGAATATTGTGAAGATGGAAATGTACAAGAATATTTAAAAAAACAAACTAATATATTAGAAGAAGATCACATTATCGAATGGTTAATACAAATTTTAACTGCTATCAAATATATTCATAGATCCAATCTATTTCATGGAAATTTACAACTGAAAAATCTTTTTCTAAAGTCAAATAAAATTAAAATTACAAATTTTGATATTACAAGTTTATCTTATCCTACTATTGATTTAGCATCAACATTAACGGAGTTTCCGTAAGTTTTTTTTTATTCGATTAAATTTCGAAAATTGTTTTATTTTTTGTTTGAAAAAGATATTTTTTAGCACCGGAAGTATTGAAAAATAACGTGTTTTTAGCAATATCAGATATCTGGTAAGAATTATGAACAATAAATAAAACGATTTAGAAATGTTTTCCAATAAGGTCAATCGGTTGTTTGTTATATGAAATGTGTACTTTTCAACGGGATTCTTCTGATAAACATATTACGGATATTATAAAATATATGCTTTACAACGGAGGTCAAATGCCATATCTTCCAAAATTATATAGTGAAGAATTAAATGATTTATTCAAAAAGTAAATTTTTTATTGATTTTAATAAAAATACTTTTATTTCTTCTTGTCACAAACAGAATGTTGATTGAAGATCCATTAAAACGATCAAATGCTAAAGAATTATTACATTCACGTTTCATTCTCTTTTATCGTCAGGTAAATATTTTAGAAAAAAACAACACTTCACATTTGATTTTATACAATTAAATAGAGAAATACAAATGGCTCAGATCAACAAAACCAACTAGAAATGGCAACAAATCAACTTGGGCCTCTTACAACAACAAATAATAAACGAAGTCTATCACCAATATCGACAGTCAATAGACAAATCGATACGACACATAATAGTCAACAGCATAGAGAAAGAGAAAGCTCTCAATCAAGAGATTTAAGAATAAAAATAGATACATTACGAAAGTATTTTGCAAGTTTTATATTACATATGATTATTATTGTATGTATTTTTAGAAAAGCTATTGCTATGTTAGGTGAAGATAAATTTGAAAACGTCTATAATTATTTAATGGAACAACGCATAGCACAGAAAAGTGATCCACGGATTGATGATGCTAAAGTCACTGAAGGTCTAAAAGCATTCGTGAAGACACCTGCAGAATGCTTTGTAGTTGATCAACTCGTATTTTTAGAATTAATATAAAATTGAATGTGTGGATATACTGTTAACTATGAACATTTACGTCTTTTTCTTATATTACTAATCAATTGAATTCAATTTTGTTTTTTAAAAAAAATATTTGCGAGTGGGTGTGAGTGTGGGTAAATAAAAGATGAATCCACACCCGTTTGTTTTGTCAGCTCCAAAAGTCTTTGACTTTTCTATATTAAAGACATGTGACCGCTATGACAATAACATCCGCCAATCTCTCATATCCTAATTCATCTTGTTTATTTTATCTGCTTTTGTAGCAATTTAAAAAAGCATATCGAATGTTTGTACTTTTATTTTTCCAGTCTACAACGTTCGATGACACAGTGTTTCGATGTGTTACGAAAAAAAGGTAAAGAACGAAGCGATTTCTTCCAACATCATTTGACTGCATAATTATATTTTGCGCATACACCGCCGTGCTATAATCGCTTCTTACCTCTCATCTTGTCATGGCCATATCTTTGTATATAAATTTCATTTCTTATAAAAATTAATATGTCATACAATAAAATATATTTTTATTTATTAATTTACGAGTTCTAGGAATGGGTGA